GGCGGCGCGGCGGGGGTGGGGGCCGCAGGGCAAAGAAAGTGAAAATTGCGATCTTCAGCGCGGCTGCGGGGACTTCCCGATGCAGATCGTGCAGATCGCTGGACGCCGCTGCTGGGCGTGCGTAAAACAGCTGATGCGTTGAAAACTGACCCTTCTGCTTCTGTGTAATGGTTATCAAAATAACAAAGATGTCGGAAAAAAATAAACTGCCGCTATTTTCTTGGAAACCTCAGCAGGCAAGTAGTGGTGAGTCAGAGTAACGGTGCCAGCTGGCAGAAGCTGGCAGTCTCGCACCCACTCACAGCCACACCATAGCTGTCACAGAATGGCGACTAGCACGCACTAATCCGTGAGCGGGCAGGCCGATAGGCTCAGACAGACTGGCCATGACTGATCGGATTGATTGTGTGTTCGGCGACGAGTAGATGGGACCCATTAGGTAATTTACGCGCGTGGCGATAGTAATTTTTGCTTCTGAATTTAAAAAACAAACGAGACAAAAATAATGACACGCCGGTCGCCCGCTCTGCGCTGTAGATAGCAAGGAGGAAGGGGAGGGTGGGGGGGGGGGGCTTTTCCCTCTGGTAGAGACGGTCTTTAAGGGACTGTCTAAAAACTACCTGTCGTGAGGGTGTTTACGATTCGCTACATGCTTCTCATTCCGGGACCCGCGAGTCCCCCCTCTGCTGCGAGATCACTCGCGAGCTGTGTAACAGGTAGCAGCTGATTAACCCCGCGCACTTCTGTGGTTATGCTGTACCGCATTCCTACGTGCGGGCGGTTTGCCTACCCGTTAAGACGCCACGATCAAGGAGGGCGATAGGCAACTGCGGGCGGGCGGTATACCTGGCATAAGCCAAAAAGCCTAGCTGTCATGTCACGGGCTTTACGGCTCGTACGCCCCGCAGACTCCAGCACAGGCAACGACAGCCAACTCGCATCGCAAAACCGGCGGATTTAAAACCGCAGTCATCAGCAGCACGGCGGGTCGGAGAACGGAGAAGGAAAAAGCTGCCGTAAAAACGACTTTTCAAGCGCGACAAATGCACACTCGAATACGCGAGGCTGGCCATGCACGGCAGATCATGTCGATTGTTCAGGCGACGAGGACGACGGGCGACCCATTCAATAATATTTACACGTGGCGAGCGACAAATAGCGACTTCTCGCCTCTCGGCGGCGGCGCGGGCGCGGGCGCGGGCGGCGGCGGCGGCGCGGACGACGACGGCTGGGCTTCTATCACACTGACGTCGCGAGTCTGCCGCGGACCTCAATGGAACGGGGAGAATGTATACACACCGTCATTTCGACTCATCGATAAGGCGAGGAGAGAAAATTCGGGGAAAACCGTCGATGAAACGCAACGTTAGGGGTGACAACAGACTTTCCGTTTCCCGCTTGATATTAAAAAGGGGGGGGGGCACACGTTTCCTTTTGGTAGAGACAGTCATGGGGACTGTGTAAAAAATTCGTGCTCCCGCAGATGAACCGGGTTTGGTGCAGTGGAGAGGAAAATGCGCGAAGAGACTTTATAACTCATTATGGCGTGGCGGCGCTT